CCCAGGTAGTTATCTGATATCTCTGACCTTCTGTTTGTGGCTGAAAAGCTATGATCATGATTGCTCTGCCTATATCAGTAAGTAGGAAGGGGCCATGCAACCATAGTCAACAGATGCAGAGCGTTAGCACCCATGCACCCACTCACGTGAAAGGCTTTGAGACACATTTCATAACCTGAAAAGATCAAGAAAACAATTTCCCCTTCATAGTTTTCACTAAGAGGGAATTTAAAATACCTTTATTTCAATTTGAAAAATCTCAATCAAATGAATGATGTGATTTAAAATAACAAGAAAATTACTGGAAAACTCATTTGACACTTCCATTTTTAAGTCTAAAGGGTGCAGAGAAACTTCCAGCAGATGGCAGTACACTCACTGTGGACGGGGCAGAGGACAATCTGCTTAACGCACCTCAGAGAACATACACAACATGTACATACTACATAACAGTATACATAACATATATACATAACAATGTCTTAATGTTCAGTGCAATGATGTGCTTAAAAATATTGGGGGAAAATAAAGGGAAGCTACAGCAGATCAGTAGAAAAATTGAGTTTGAAAAGGTGAAACTACAACCAGTGCTTGGGCAGTAAGAAAAATGTGAAGCATCAACATTCCAGGAAGTCATGTGTTTGACACTAAACAGTGCAAACCAAAGTGCATCTACTCAGAACTGAACATCTTTGCCACAAGAGCCCGTCCATTACCTCTGAGCAGGCTTTCCACGAGGTGTTCAGGGTTAAGCCCAGAGCCCTTTTTAAATTATTCGCAAGAAGGGGTAAACAGAATATTAATTCACTTTTCAGGTAACCGTGAATTCGGTGAGGTTGCCAGTGATGTGAAGAGAGGAAAAAGGTAAAATCAAATCAAGTATTCCTTTCCTTGAAAAGAAAATTCCTTCCAGGTTTGTTCCCAGACAGGACAGTTTCTCCCAGGACACTTCCCTGGCAGGACAAGCTGCCCCACTCTGTCTGACTAGCTGATAAAAAACTTTGTCTGGCTTCAACAAAACACACTCATTTTTCCTTCAGAAGGGCAGATTAGGTCTTGAGAGAGAGCAGAGAACAGTGGCTAAGAGCAGGCCTTTGCATCCAAACAGCCTGAGCACAGTTGTAGCCATGTGACCTTGGGCGTGTTATTTAGTACTCTCATGCCTCAGTTTTCTCATCCGTAAAGCAGAATAATTACAGAGCTGTCCTCTTAAGAATGATAGAAGGAATAAGTGAGCTCATATATGTACAGTGCTTGTATGGTACCTGGCCTACACAAATGCAAAAAAAATTGTTAATCACAATTATTGCTATTTTCATGTAGAAGCAAATGAATAGTACAAATTTTTTACAGTACAAGGGATTAAACCCAGGTCCTTTGTTTTTTTGAGAGAGGGTCTTGCTAAGTGCCTAAATTGCCCAGAGTAGGCGGAAACTTGAGATCCTCCTGTCTCAGCCTGCACAGTGCTGAGATTACAAGCATGCACCACCACTCCTCGCCATACTGTCTCTCAAACTTTACAAGTTCTAAACAGTCAGTCCCACACTTCATATTTCTTTTACTTATAGTACGTGGTTATTTCCCAACCTTCCAGCTCTTCCTCCCTCAACTCCAACCTCACACTAATGACTGTCTATTAATATTCTAATAAATATTTACTGAACAGGTGCTCCAAGCCTGATGTCCTGGGGTAGGGAACTGATTAGTAAGAGAAGTTCAGTCTCTGTCATTATCAATCATGTACTCTAGAGCAAACCTTAACTATGTTAAAAATAAATACAAAAAGACATGCAGTCAAATTCATTTGAGATGAAAACAGGTGCTATGAATAAATAAGTCTGACTGACAAGATAGTGGAGGCGAGGGAGAGGAAAAGACAGGTCCTGCTTGAGACTGGGTGGTCAGCTGGGTAGGGGAACACTCTACGCAGGAAGGACCTGGAGAAGCTTGGGGAGGGGCCCTAGCAAAGACCAACGCAAGGGCAAAACCTTACTCACATGGCACAGCTGAGTAGTAAAACACGCTGCCATTAATCCTCCGTAAAATCCTCCTCCTCCCCTTTCAAACGCACTAATCCCATCCTTCTTGCCACTTTCTGCAGCAGCTCTGGAGTCCTCTTTCTTGAGTGTCTATAGTTGAATTGACCCAGCTGCCTCAGTGTCCTGAATCAACTCATAGTGTTTGCCTTTCATGGTCATTTCAACTCTTGAGCATGAGCCAGCAGTCGCATGATGCCAGATTCAGTGAACAAGTTGGCTGAGGACACACTGCAGTAAAGCCTGCCAATCCACTGGGTGGCACTTGGTAACAGCATACACTGTATTTTTAAACACACCTTGGGAAGATACTCATGAGGAAGGACTTCCAGAACTACCTCAGAAAATGGCAAGAAAAATGGGGTAAGTGAGTTAGAAGCCAGGGGAATATTCTGAGGGAAGTGGATAGCAATGTATCTTTTACTGTAATAACTTTTTAAGTATGTTTAAATTTAATCACACATTGTATATGAGAAAACTCCCAACCATGCCCAGGGACATTTTTTGTCACTGCTGCATAAGGAAAATGAGACTCAGAAAAGCTGTGCCTGCACAGGATTTCACCAATG